GGCTTCGGTCTCTGCGGCAACCTCTTTCACGCTCCCTTAAGGCACCTCACCCCGAACAAAATACCTGCAGTCCTCAAGCAAACCCTGATCAAAGATTTACAACTTGGAGAGATGAGCCATCCAGCACCCACATCAGCGTCGCGGTGATGATGAGCTTGGACTGGGAAAGCACCGTATACGTGGAGGAATCCTCGGCTTCAGACATTCTTAGGCTCCGCAGCCCTCGAAGCCATCGAGTCGCAGGCTTTTCAGGGTCAGAGCGATGAAATCGTTACTCGGCTTCGCACGATTGCTGGATAACTACCCCTGACGTAGAGCCTCCGAACCTGCAGAGTTAAGATGCACATAGTCGCCCCGAGGCACAGTACAGGCATCGCTGCCGAGGATACAAATACATAAACATTGTTTGAGGCCCAATATCTCCCCCTGAGCCCCACCTTCCTAAACAGCCTGTGGCTCGTCCTGCAAAGCTTTGCATGAAGCCACCTGTTGCCCGCATGTATCCACGGAAAAAAGCGCCTCAGGCCCTTGAGGATGTCACTTCGCCCTACATTGCTGCTCCAGGATCGATGTAGTTCACGGACTCCATCTCAAAGATGTCTCCCAGGGCATAGATCAAGCCGATGTGGAAGAACTTCGTCAGGTTTCCCACCTAAGATGCAGCGAGACACGCCTTCAATTCGCGAGGGCCGAGGATGTGGAGGTTCCTCAAGCAAAGCTTGTCTCTCCTGCGGCTTCAGGCACACAGGCCCTCACAGCCACATGTAAATACAGCCATAAAGGTTAGAGAATCTTAGCAGAAATACATCTAGCTCTTCATTGTCTACCCATCCTGCTATCTACATACACGCTCTTACGCTTACATTTTCCTCAAACAGAGTATATGATATGTTGTCACCTTGTCCTTGAGACCACACCCTTCAGCTGCGTGCAAGAGAAATGGGCGGCTTCGGCTTTGGAAAGTTGGGGTCCACTTGATTTAGGTGTCTCTATGGGTGTCTTTTGTTCATGCAGAGCCTATTTCGCACAGCGGAGCCATACCCCCAAGTTCCTCTCTGCGCATGTGGCCGTGGCGGTACACCAGTGCTTTACGAAGCCGAGCCCACGAGGAATGGTGTTTAGATGGGGGCACACTATGAGCCTTACGAGTTAGGAAGAAAGATCTCGACAAATTCAGCTAAGGGGACGTCGAAACATTTCTTCAAGTCCTGGGTCCCGCCAGTGCTGTGAGCCAACATCCATCCAATGGCAACCTGGGCTCGCAAAACAAGCCAAGCTCCAAACACGCCGCCAAGCGCTCAATTGGAGCGTCACTTTCAGAATATTATGTTCCTCCCGGAAGCACAGATGATTTGCGCGACGAAGATCACACTGGACACGGTGTACTTCGCCTCGGCTTCGAAATATGGCAAGATCAAGTTGACAGTGGCCATGCGGATACAGCATCAAAGCCACCCTATGAAACCAAGGTCCTGCCCCGTGCAATCAGTACATGTTTGCCTGTGGATCGAAACATCTAGCCACTCGCAGCCAGGGAACATGTGGCGAATCGCCTTTGGCCCACTCGATGAAGGAGTTGTGGCATGCTCGCTGCACAGTCACCTGGGATTCGCACGTTGACGGAAGAAGTCGTGATGAGAATCTCGAGTTCTGCGAAGCATAGGCACGTCAACAAGCAAAAAGGCCGACTGCCGGTGGACTGCAAAGGGGATTGTTACGGGAGCACTGGATTGCATTATGTGCGTCAGGTTGCAGCAATGAAGGCCGCAGCTTTGGTCTGGACATCAGCCATCTGACACAGGGGATTCTGCACAGGTTTCCTTGCAGCCGCATGGCTTCTGGGCCTACCACGTGAAATCTTCAGGCACAGCGGATCGGACTCAATCCGGCTTCGGAGACGATCTGCCTCGTCCACAGCCGCACGCAAACAGAAAGTGAAGTCGCCAGTGCTGGGAATCGTTGGGCCAGAACGCTGCGGCGTGTCAGCGGCACACACGGGAGCACGTGCTGAGAAAACCTACAATCGAGCAATCAAGCCGGCACTGCTGCACCAGAGAACCTCTACAGCTCAGCTGCACCTTGTAGCCCCAAGTGTAGCTCAGCATGTAAGCGGCGCCTTCACCACATGGACTGTGATCGATCTGTACACGCTTGACGTCGAAACAAAAGCCACAACAACACATCTCGTGAGCTGCTTTAGGCGCGCGACTCCAGAGCCTAGGGCCTAGATTTCATCAAAGTGCCAGTTGTAAGCTGCAGCCTCCGGCATTCTGGCTTCCGAAGATGCTGTCAACATAAGCTGCGCCCAACCTGGCGACTTCGGAAAACGTGGAAGTCGCCAAACCCCTCTGCCTCTCTCTTCTCTGGTTTCAGCTTTAAGGCATCTCCTCCCGGATCGGCTCCTGCCATCACGCGGGCATCGGACTGCAGCGCCCTTTGGCCGAATGATGAGAGGCCTGAGCTTTTTGCATCCAGGACTCTTGGCCTGGGCCTGAGCTACCACCCCAAACCGAAAGCATGGCTTCAAGAGGTGTGTCTGGAGAGTGCAAGAAAGCCACCCCGTCCAACTGCTCTCAAATTAAAGCGGCTGAAACACTCAATCTCGTAAACTCGCGCATCAATGTGTAAGCCACAGCGCGGCACCTGCAGGAGGCGAGGCAGGACAGAGGGTGATACGCCGACAGAGCCTGAAACGAAGGACTCTTTCTACCAGATTCTAGGGGGTCGCATGCACCACGCCCGTGCGCTGCTCAGCGAGGATGAAGCGTGGTCTTGAGATACGGCAACCGCTGCGAAACCTGAAGGTGCCCAGCCTGAGCGACCTGTACCACCGCCCCACAACAATCACCATCTTGCCCAGGAGTTGGGACAGCAAAGCAGAACTCCTGCTGCCACCGAAAACGGCCTTCCCAAAGCCTAGCCGCCAGACCAGCAATACCAGCACTGACCCCCGCACCTCAAACCTAAGCGTGAAAGTGGCCTCAGTGAGCAAGGAGTCGCGCAAATGCGCAACGCTGACCTCACGTCAACATGGGCTGACAGGACTCAAACGGCTTAAAACAGGCCTACCTCGTTTCCCCTGAATTTCGACTCCAAGCGTCTCCACGGAATTCGTGACCCAAACACTGGTCGAACAGGTAGTTGCAAAAGTCGGGGATGCGCGCCTCCGGTCATCTATCCAACTTCACTCATCAAGTCAAATGGCCCGTCCAAGTCCTGTCAAATCGATCAGCAAACATTAACACTGGGCACAAGACTTTCAGAATAGCCGAACAAAAGGACTGCAGTACAGAAGCACAACACTGAATAAGACCGGGATAAGAAAGGATGCTTTGCAGGGCCAGCGGCGATTTCGCCATCTTCGGTTGGCTGACCGGCCTGAAACTCTGCTAGCTCAGGCGTTCAAGCTTCGGAAAAACCGTCTAAGTAATACCTTTACGTATGCAGGCGTGTATGTATGCATCTACGTACAGTAAGTATATATGTAGGTATGCGGTATGCCTCTTGTGTGTAGTTATGTAGATACGCAGATGTGTCTCTCTCTGTCTCTGTCTCTGTCTCTGTCTCTGTCTCTGTCTCGGTCTCTGTCTCTGTCTCTGTCTCTGTCTCTGTCTCTGTCTCTGTCTCTGTCTCTGTCTCTGTCTCTGTCTCTGTCTCTGACTGGCTGTATGTATGTCCCTGTGTATATGCTTTTTTCTTGCCGTGCTTTGTTGTCTGTTGCTGGTTCAATCAGTACTCGATACCCCTGTTTGCATTGTATCATTGTATCCTCTATAGTGTTGCTAGCATCATTACAGCAGGATCTTGGAAGTGTCCGAGCTTTACCTCCGAGCTTGCCACGGCTCATGAATTGCAAACACACACTTCGCGTAAAAACCCGTTGGCGATTGTTTGAAGGCGCTTGCGAATGAGAAGATGGCCGATTCTGATTCTGGCAATGCTGTGGTGCAAAGAACTTTTGAGCGGAGACACTACTTGTACCGTGCTTTCGGTAACGGGCCTGAATCAAAATATTTCATAGCAGCTGTTTGAGTCTACCGGGCCGCGTACGTGCTCCAGCAGGTCGTGCATGGTGTCATCGTCGAGGTCCGGAACCTTTGGCAGAAGAGCAGAATGCCATGCCGCCGGATCATGAGGCACATGATGCCAACGATCCTGTGTCACGCCAAGTGCAAGTGCGACCGATCATCCACAGGCCTGCTTTGTACGCACATCTAGCCGCTGCCACCAGACAACCAAACATCATGGAAAATGCCTGGCACAACCAGAGACTCCCTATTGTCAACATCTGGAGACTTAGAGATCTTATCCATGTCCAGAGGCCACTCGCTGCAGAACTGCACGGAGCTGCGCGATCGTCAAGGCCCGCTCTCCTTGGCTGAGCTCGGCATTTGTGACATGTCGACCGTACCTACTGATTTCAAAGGACGTCTCACATGCTTCGGTGTCTGTTGCCACTTTCTCCTAACAAGCTTTCGACGCAGATAGATAAAAGCATGGTCTCGCTGCGAACTGCTGAGTTCTCCAAGCTGCCAAAGGCTTGCAAGACCTCCGCGGCAGCCTCCATGGCTCCGATGATTTGGCGTCGCAGCTTTGTCTTTGAGGTAATCCCAGCTGCCCCTTTAAGGCAGCACTCCAAGCTTGGAATTTGGAAAGTTTGATTCGCGACACTCCATGTTCTCCTGCCATAACCAGTGCACAGCCCTGCCATGAGCCAACTCTTCGTCCTAGCTTCTCGAGGCGAGAATCCGCGACGATGCAAGAGACATCATAAGACTCACAGCTTCGGTGCCTTGATCACCAGAATCAAGCGAATCCACGGCCGCATAGGCATGAGCGAAGACCACTGAAGCTCAACAGGAAGAAGAAAAGGCAGGAAGAAGGCGCAGGAGGCTTGCCCGGTGCCACCCTAAGCCCTAAGCAAGGTCTGCCCTTCATGAAGCTCAGCGTTCAGTCGCATTCCAAGTCGTACCCTCTACACCTGAACCTGAGTGCGGCACCTCCTGTTCCGTAGCCATCGCTGCCTTCGGCCACACACCGACAATCTTTGATATTACGACACAGGTTGTTCCAGATGCACCGGCACGCATGCTATTGCTTTCTGTATATGCGAAAAGCACGCACACATGTCCACCTACCCACCTACCTACCTACCTACCTACCTACCTACCTACCTACCTACCTACCTACCTACCTACCACTGCTCGATCTTGCTAGGTATTCTGAATCGTCAATCATATAGAACTCCACACCAACATCAAGGAAAATTCTTGGTAGAGCCTGCAATATAGCATACATTGTCGCCTGCAATACTACTTAGGATCCAGCGCAGGTCAACTGCACACAACAATATGTATAATGGAGGCTCGCGATCCAAGACCAAACCATGCCGATCAGTCAGAATCTTGCATAAACCCTAAACCCTAAACCCTAAACCCTAAACCCTAAACCCTAAACCCTAAACCCTAAACCCTAAATAGGCCGTAGGCCGTCGGCCCGCCAGGCCCTGCTGGCCTGCCGCTCGCTGTCCACACGTAGCGGGCCCTGTGCCACAGTGTCGAGTTTCCCTCATGACCAAAACGGGATCTGACGGAGGCCGCAGCGAAAAGTCTCACTCCGTGCTGTGCCTGAAGTGTCTTTGACGCTACGTCCGGAATCTCGGCCGTGGACGCCTCAAAACAAAAACTGTTCAAGGTTTAGGAAGTTGAAGGAATCGTCGGTTCAACCTACCTGGCTACGGCCCGCTAGCGGCAAACCCATCAAAATCGCAATTCACAGGCCCAGACCCCTGAAGCAGGGCTCTTCAGCGAACCGTCTTCTACACTCAGTGAAACCCAGCATGAACCCTATAATGGCTCTGAGCATTTTTGTCATGTTGACAAAGCCACCGTCCGTCTCACAACGGTTTCTTTTTGCCCTACATCCTGTCTAAAGGTCGTGACAACCCCTAAATCCCCAAAGAACCTGAAAGATCCATTTGGGGCCTTTCAGGGACCCCTTTTTTGGCTTGGAAAGCGCTGAGTAAGGGCCCAGGGCCCCCGGCAGGCAAGAGCAGCGCAAGGCTCCGAAGCCTGGGATGCGGTTTGAGACTGGCAGAACTCCAGGCTCTCCTTGGGAATTTCCGAGCTTGGGGACTCGAGTTCAGGGTTGAGGGTTCTGTCTTCCTTTTTGTAAACACTTGCTGCCTGCGTCTCGCAAAAAAAAAGTCACCCGGCGGGGCCAAAATCTGCGAAGAGTTCCCCGCATCTTAAACCAACGACTCATGGCATGTCTGTGGCTGTCCTTCCACGGGCCCTTGGAAGGAGTACACAAATATGGCTCAGGCTGCAGCCTGAGACGTATGAGTTCGCCGCTTATTCTCAACATTCCTTGCTGCAACCCTACTGTACGCTGTTTCACTTCAGGCACTTCATTCAGGGTCTCCCGTGCAAAGTAAAAAAAATCACCTGAAGCAACCGCGGCTGCTTTGTGCTCGTAGGAACGCCTCAGACCTCAGCCAAGTCACGCGCTGGCCGTCAGCGGTGCCGGTGCCGACGCGGCGGCCGCCAGTGCTGCCAGAGGTGCTGCTGGCAGGCCGAGGCGCCAACTGCGGAACCATATTTGGGTGTTTCCGATCATAGGGGACCCCAGTATAGTGCCCTAAATAGTAGGATCCATATTATGAGGACCCCAAAAGAAGGTACCCCTAATTGTCGGAAACTCCCATATCCCTTTCCATACCTTTCCCCTTACAGACCATCAGATTCCGTCTCGCAGGGCAAACGCTGCCTTTGGTGCCAATTCCTTGAGTACCGTCATGGACAGATTCGCTAACAAAGTATGCAGTAGCTTTGCTTACACGGTGCAAATGCGCGCTCGAATAGTACCAGTGCACGCATCTCAGGCTTTGTTCACAGCTGAAACTGTGAGAGCTGCACTTCAGCTGTGTGAAACCACAACAGAAGCACGGACCTCATTTGCAACGTTTAGAAACTGTCCGCCGAGCACGCAGTCAGGCCTGGCGCAGCCCTCCAAAACGGAGGCTACCTGCATAACAAGGCCATGAGGTGGGCACGGCCAGCAGTGACAGAAGCCTCTGGCTTTGCCTCACACTCTTGTCACTCTCAACCCTCTCTTTTCAGCCGTCTTGCCAGAAGCGACTTGCGCCGAGCTAAAACAGCGAGAGGCCACATCGTGCAGAAGCTTCGAGATGTTGACAATGCCGGTATTAGTAGGTAGGTGGGGTTTTGGGGGCCTGTGGACCTTCGTGGCGCACTCTCGCGGAACGCATTCAATTGCATCAATATCCTGCGTGCCTCATGCAAATCTCATACACAAGTCCGGTCCTGTGCCGGGCGACTGGCAATTCATGGCCATCAGGCCCTCTCGTTTGCCCCTAGGCGATGGGCAGAAACGATCCAAAACATGGCAATGCAGAATGAGGAAAGCAAGAGTCCGAACTCCCGTTCCTCCTGAACCATGGACAGCGCTAGAAATCTAAGAAAGCCTAAAGCTACTAATCGCTAATCTAAGTGGCCTCGACTACCCTGTTCGGGTACGGAGGCCATTCCAAAAACGTGTGAGATCCACATGCCCATTGAGGGAAGCGATCTCCTGAGGCGAAGTGCCGCTATGATCTGCCTTGGAAACATCTGCCACTGCCTCAATGAGGAGCCGCACTATCGGGAGGTGGGCATTGGCGGAGGCAACCCACAACGGCGAAGTGTCGGTCGGCGGCCGCGTCTGATCCAGATTTGCACGAAGCATAACCAGGAGCTGCACCATCCGCAGGTGACCTCGGGAAGCTGCAATCCAGAGCGGAGTTGCTCCTGTTCGATTTGCTGTGTTGAGGCATGCTTTGGTGTTGGTGAGATGTCTCACGATTTCCAGATAGCCCTGGCGGGCAGCGAACCAGACCGGAGAAGTGCCCGTGGCATCCACGGCATTGATGTCAGCTCGCTCTTCAAGGAGCAAGCTTAATACATCGAGGTGGCCATTGCTGGAAGCAACCCAACAGGGCGACTTGCCTGCTCTGTCTTGTTGGTTCGTGTTGGCCCTGTGTTGCAGAAGCTCCTGCACAATCTCGAGGTGGCCCTCGAAAGAAGCGCGCCACAAGGGCGAGACCTCCTCATTGTCGGCTCGGTTCTTCTTCGCCCCGGCCGCAAGGAGAAGGCGCACTACGTTTAAGTGACCTTTGCCACATGCAATCGAAAGTGGAGTGTCACCTGCTGGGCTAACCGCATCCAGGCAGTGGCCCGCTTCTAGGACAACCTGGGCAACACTTGCGGAGCCCGTCTCACAGGCGATGCCCAAGATGGACATCCCACGCGGGTCCTTGCTATCGATGCTCGCGCGAGCCTCCAGCAGGAGACGCGCAGCCTTCGTGCTCCCGGAGTGAGCTGAGACCTGAAGCGCGTTGCGGCCGTCTGGAAGTGTCAGATCCGGCTCCAAGGGCATTTTCAGGAGGCGCTCCAGGTCCTTGTCCGCCTTGTCCGCTTCTGCGCAGCGGAGAAGGGCCTGAAGATCCCTGGCATTCGCTGGGCTGAACCTGTCAAGCAGTACCCTTGATTTCAGAGAACACCTCTAGGAGCGGGGGCCAGCCAAAAAAGAATGTCTCTTTTTTCCCGAGGATCGGAATCACGACCAGCTGAAGGCTCGTGGGCAACTCCAGGTCCGTCATCAGATCCAGCAGAACCTTCCGTGCCGCTTCAAACACAGCCCAGAAGACATGGGGGATCGGATGAACCATGAAAGATTGAGAGTTTTCCCCCGTCCTCCTCGTCCTCCAAGACCTTGTCCTGGAAAATCAATCTCTGCCTGCATTCTGTGGCCAACGGTGAGCTCAAGGAACGATTCAAGACGAGCTAGCTGTTGCTGTTGCTGTTGCTGTTGTTGCTGCTGCTGTTGTTGTTGTTGTGGAAAAACATCTCCCGCGTCTGGCTCGTCACGGTTGCTAGATCAATGACCACAGTAAGTGTGCAGCGAAGTGAGCTGGTTGACAAAGAATGGCACACCTTCCAACCCCTCTTGCAAAGTCTGTAGTTTTGGATGTTTGCCAGGCTGCCTGAATCTTGACACTGCGAGGCGCGAGCAGAGGTGCTCCTGCAGCAACTTGAAGCACGATCCGTGACGACAACGATCAACAAATCGAATCGCCCATATGTTCATGTGGCCTTCAACGCCCGAACTGTGTCGCCGCGCGTCTGCACCATTTCCTGCAACTCCTGGTGGGGTGGCGAGACTGCGCCCCTCCTTCTCTCTCACTCTCTGTCCCTCTTTGTTCCCTCTCCTGCATATCCAGGCAGGCTGCGACTTCCCCGTCCACGGAGCAGATGCGCAACTCGCCCGTCCCAGCTCCAACACCATGGCTGTGCTGCGGGTATCCATGGTAGCTTAAACACGACATCTGCCCCAGGAGCCGCAAAGCCAGGGCTGCGGCCGGGCGAACCCTCAAGAAATGTTGCGCACTTCTCTTCGAAAGAAGCGAAGTTTCCTCAACCCTTTTTGCATTACGCGCCTGGTGCGGCTGAAGCCTCGGAGCTGCAGAGGCAGCCGCACGGCCAATGGCATGGAGCAGCTCTGCTGACCTGAAACTCACACTCGTGAACTCCGCACAACGGACCACCGAAATCGCGGCAGCACGCAAGAGTCGATGGCTGCAGCCGACGGTTAGCTGATGGAGGGTGCGCAAGGGCAAGATGCATCCGTGAAGTGCATACGGCACGTGGCACTTTGCCCGATGCCCTGGGCCTTTTGGAGCTCAACTGAGGCCGCGGCGCCACCGCCGCCTCCATTGCGGCGAGCTCACTCCTCGAGGGAACCGATGTGGGTCTGAAGAGAGACGAAGAAGTTTGAAAGCGCCAAGCATCGAAGGGCTCTTAGCCAGGAAGTCGGCTGCAGAAGGTCCAAATGTCATTGCACAAAGGCCCATCCTCACGGGATTCGCTTCTTCAGGGGCTGGTTCAGGTGCATGGCTTTGTGATGTGCAGGGTGCATCAATGCTCGGTTGTGTTCTCGCCTGACCACAGCGACACCCACGTGCCAAAGCGCATCGGAGGCCCGATCTGCTCGATACCCCAAAACGAGCACTCCGACTCCCTCTCTTCGAGTCCGACAGGATCACCACAAACCGAAAACTCAGACGACAGAACCGGTTCCGAGCTGCTCGAAGGGCAGCATGAACGCCGCCTGCTTGGTGGCAAGCATCGCAGCCTGAGAAGCGCGCAGCGTTGAGGGGGATAGGCCAACGCCCATGAGCGAGCTCGCCTCCTTGAGGAAGGCGTCCGCGTTCTTCACGCCGCCTCGCATCGCCGCTTCTGCCAGCTGCGACACATCTGCCGGCGAGGCCTTCGCAGCTCAAAAACTCTGCCTGCCTTCCACCTGCCTGGCTCCGGGAATGCAGAGGATCTGAGCCTCGTCCAGCGTGAACCTGCAGCAGGCGACTAAGGCCGAGATGTGCGCCGCATCATGGAAGCGGAGGGCGCTGTAGGCTTTGCAGACCTGCACCGGACGACTAAGGCTTCATGTCCGACTCGGCGCGGAGCCTGCGCCCTGTTGCAAGGCCAGGCCTTCGCTAGGTCTCTCGCCCGAAAGCCGTCGGAGGAAAGCCGCGCCTGGAGGGATCTTCACGTGCGACGAGCAGCTGATTGCAGGTTCATGTTTGAAATCCGCCCCAAAGACTTCGCTTCTTCAGCAGAATAAATCCTCGCCCTCAGGCCTCCAGCTGCGGCGCAAGCGCTGAGAGGAGCTCGCCTTCCGCCGGTGACTCGCAAGAACTTCCATCTCATGACTCAGAATCAGCATACGGCTACCGTCTTGTCATCAACAACACGTTGCTGAGAGCAGACCTTGCAAGGACCGCCTGTTCCTCAGACATGCCCATCAAACAGGGATGTCATGCGAACACCTTGCCTCGGACTTTTCTCTCACCAAACGCCACGCTTGAAAGCAGACATCCCGATCGGAGAGACATCTACAGCGCCAGACAGGGTCTCCAGAGAAGTCCTCCTTAGAGGAGGTGGAGCAAAAGGCCCTTCAGGTACTGCGACTCTGGCAGCATCAAATGACCAGGATGATCGGCAGCCTGGCCAGAGCTTCCCCGTTTCAACCGAAAAAAAGAGGCCCCGACTCACGGCCAGCTCTTTTTTTTCCCGTTACAGGGCAGCCAGCGCCTGGCGGCTTGTGGCTGCGAGCCGGTGCTCTCTCTGAGCCCAGGCCAAGGCACCTAAGGCCGATTTGAGCAAAGCAAAGCAGCAGCCGGGGGGTGTGGGGGGCATTTCTTGTTTTGCTCCAACTCTCGGCCGATCTTTGGTCAAGGAGCGGCTCGCCGCCCCAGAGAGCTCGCGCTCGCCTGGCAGAGGCCCCTAGCCTGGTGCAAGCCTCGCCTCGCTTCGGAGCCCCGCAAAGAGCCTATGCTGTAGGTGCAGGAGGCGACGAAGAGCCAGCCGGGAGAGGCACAGAGCTGCGCGGCCGAGTTCAGCAGCTTCCTAACGCTTCTCTCAAAACTTCTAAGGCTCTGCAACCAGCTGTTGAGCTCGAGAATTGCATTGCGCTGCTAGTGAAGATGATTTCCGAGCTGCTCGTAGTGCCGAAGCGCCTCAGACACAAAAGCCAAAAGCTGTGCAGCCCGATCGCCTACAGAGTTGCCCACGACGACTGCTGCCCGTGCCTTCGGTGCACCCATGCGATCCACTCCCAAGTTAGGAGGGTCCACAATCCTGAGTTCCGGCTCATGTCTTCTTTCCTAGAGTCCTAGAGAACCAAACGCACTCTAAAAAGGCCTCTGTGGTCAAAAAGACAGCTAAATTCACGCTTGTTCGGTTTTTGAGAGGCCTTGTGGGGAATTTGTGGATATTTGGTCCTCTAGGTTTGGCGAGGGATGCTACGGGAGTGGGCAGCCACGCATGGGACGGTGGGTTAACAGTTCTGAAAGATTAGCTGAGGGCTACAGAAGGAGGTTGGCAAGAACCACACGAAATTCAAATTGCACCTATGCCACCGGCAGGCACGAGATCAAACTCCGTGTCCTCACCTCTGCTGGCAGCGTCTTGCCCAGCGCGCTCCTGCACAAAGAGCCATGACGCAAGCGCTGCAGGCGAGGGTGGTTGGGGTGGCTGGTGACCGGCTGGTGATCAGACCATGGAGCGCAAGAGCCTCGGTGCAGTCACCACTACGCTCACGCTGGTCCTCCTTGCCGCACCGACCGAAATCATGAGCCAAGAACAGGCACAAGCTTACGAGGGAGAAATGTCGCAGCTTGAGATGTGTCGTCTTCCAGGGCACAACAGCATTCAGCAGATGTGCTGCTGCGGTTGGCGGCTCGCGCAGCTCGTTTATGCCACCCATGTTCGGACTATCCAGAATCCACATGCACGATTTGCCAGCGCTTGTTTTACATCAGGGCTGAAACACATAAACAAGGTCCCCAAGTCCGCTCCTGGAGGAACTTCATCGCGTCGCTCTGCACCTGCCTAAGATGGGATTGAAGCATTCCATATACTGCTCGTGAACTGCTCGTAGCCAGTGGAACACTGAGACTCAACGCGACGCGACACAGCTCCGGAGCCTGACCCGTGGCGACACGGAGTTCATCGCAGCGCTCCGCCGGCAAAGTTCCAGAGCGGCCTGGTGCAGGTTCGCATGCCGACTGCGATGTCGGTGACAACCCTCTCTCTTTGCTTTCTAGAGCCGATTGTTGCCACAGCCGGAAACAATTTCTGTTAAATCAAGGCAGCAGACCCTCTGGCATGCTTGGGTCAGAAAGGGCTCCGTCGAACCTCGCTGCTGTCCACGCAAACCACAGACTCCGCACCTCAGCACAACATGCCGCTAGACTCTAAATCAGACCACTCTTGCTGCTTTTCTATTTTTGGGCCAAACCATAACACCACGCAAGATCTCATGCGTGGAATCAGCACCCTTCCCCCTGCTGTCAGCTACTCTTCCCTGCAGAACTTGATCTTGGCTTCGGCTCAACCCCTGCCAGGCGCCGTAGTGCGCCAACGTCACGCCGAAGCCTCCGACCTTGGTTTTCGGCTCAGCAACTACGAAGATCAGAACATGTTCTGAACATCTCTCACCTGTGCTCCTCGCTAAGCATCCTGCGCAACTAGGAAAAAAAATCAACTGGCCTGGCCGGAGCGTTCCGAAGACCAAAGGGCATGATTCCATTGGGCGACTACTCGGGACGAGAATCAAAGGTTCCTAAGCGGGTTGGGTTTGCTTAAGATAGCATCCAGCGGCATAGCTGTAAACGTCCAGCACTCGAGGCGTATTCGCGACCAGAGATGCCAACAACGTCCGATGGTCACGCTGGTCGTAATACCAGCCAGTCTTCTGGCCACTGAGAAGATCCTGGGTCAAACGTGCCAGCAGAACTAAGTGCGAAAACATGAACAAGTCATATCCATACAATCTGCACCGGCATGCGTGGATTCACGGCAGTTAGATCACCGTGCTGCCACGCATCGACTGCAAATGAGACTCCGTTCCTTATTGTCGAGGACATGTCCCTCTGTGCTGCAGCCTAGGCACAACATCTTTACCTTCATGTGAGTCTTTCTTGCGACTTCTTAGTCTCCACAAGGAAAAACTCTTTGACCAAACGTCTCCCGCAGCTCCGTGGGGCCCACGTAGCGGCCCGAGAGCACCTCCCGGCGCAGCGCTGCGCCCCTTGGGAAGGCGGCGAGCGCTGCATCTCTTGTCGGGAATCGGGCTGCAGCTGAAAGCAGTGGCATGTGGGGAATGGGAGGTCTCGGAAAGGATCCGTTTTTTTGATCTGCGGCCAGGATGCTCGCGCCTCCGCCCGAGCGTATCCTCTGAACCGTCGTCGGCTTCGGGGCCCAAGATTTTCATGACTTACTGAGAGGCTTAGAAAGGGAGGGGGAATCCAAAATCCGCGTCCTGACGGATGATGACCACCTTGGGCTTCAAGACCTGCTCAGGGCGAAGAGCGCTGCTGCTGAGTTGCGTTGCCGAGACCGTCCTCCTCCAAGGCGTCGACAAGGGGCCACCTCGGCAAAGACTCTGAAAAATGCTTCGGGCTCTATGGAGATGTGCCCGATCTCGCTCGCCTATGCATTCAGCGGTTGTGCGGCCGAGCATCAAAACCAAATCCATGCCGGCAGCCGGTGCAATGACTACATGATCTGCATAGCCTGCAGTCAGTCAAAACGTCCATGCCTGAAGGATGCAATGGCTGAGCCCAAACCTGCTTTCCGAAGCCGTACACTCTCTGCAGTGTTCTGAAGCGCCATCTCAACACACAACATGAAATATTAAAACACAACAAACCTTTAGCACAAGTTATTATGGTGCTCCGAGCTGCGATCGATCATCAGGCCCGGGAGACCATCCGCCTGTCTCAGGGGCCAAGCCAGATGGTGCAGGCTTCGTGTCATGACGGTGGAGCTTCGGGCTCCGAAGCCATCTCTCTCTCTCTCTCTCTCTCTTGCTTTTCTCTTCTCTCAAAACGAAAGGGAAGAAAGTCGCCTCTCCGTGAACCAAGCGGTAGAACGGCTCCGGAAATAGCCTCTCGATTTCGGATGGGGTTTTGATTGGAGGGATGTGTGCTACCACTCCCCATAGGGTCGTAGGTGGGCTTCTGTTGGTGTCGCATTGCCGGGCCTCTCCCGATAGGCGAGGCATTTCTGCAATCGCGCTGCGAAAAAGGCAGCGTCGATGCGCACCTCTGCAAACGACCTATCCAGTGCCAACCTTTGCGCAATTCAAGATTTTCACGGTTCCAGGCCAGAGATCCGGATCACAACAGCACGGGAGGCTACACCCAGTTCCGAGGAATCAACCCCCCAGATCTGCGAAGGTTCCAACAGGTCTGGACCCTGATGTTGGAGTCACTGGAAACAGCATCTTGTCAGGGTCACCAAGCAACCAAACCCTCGGTGGCCCGGTGGTGCTTGGCCTAACCGCACCAAAGCCGAGATGCAAAGGCGGTCGTGCACAGCATGCGGGCTGCGATGGAACCGAGCCTTCGGCTGCAGCAACGGTTTTTGCCACTGTGCACTGAAGACATGCCGGGGCTGGTGGTTCAACATGGTACTGTTCAAAACTTCTAGTGCGGTCTACCAGGTCTTCCTACCCTGGCCGCTGACAAAGTGGCCTGCCTCGGCCCAAAGCCACAAATCTTGACATGCACTTCACAATGCAAGGTGTCAGCATGTTTCGGCAGGGCGCCCGCTGTACAGTGCCACCCCCAGCATGTCGCCATCTGTGGCCTGGCACCACAAGCTCGCTTGGCAGAGAACAGGCCCAAACCTGCCCCAGCACCAGCCTCCACGTTAACGAGGCAAGGCGAAAAGGCCTGTAAAGCCTGCAAAAGGGCATACGTTGACTAACGCATCGCGGTCACGCCAAGATCGACTGCATGACGGCGGCGGCTTTCGAGTTTCGACGACGTGCTTCGTTCACTTCAGCCCCGGTTTTCGGTGGCCAACCTCCGGGTTGCGCACCGCCTTGGAGGGCAGCCACGGGTAGCCTCGGCGAACTTTGGCCTCCGGACGGCGCGAGCTTTGGGAGGTGGGGAAAAACCACCAAAGAGGTCTCAGAGTGGCGGAACTCGGAAGCTCCGAGTGCGGGATGGGCTCAGGCGCCTCGGCTCCTTCCCGGAGCTGCAGCGTGGGGCGGCGGTGTGGGTCATCGCCTCTGGGCCTCGGCTCAGGTTCCCTCCACTTCCCTCCCTTTCGAAATTCCGGAACCTCCTCTTTGTTCCCCGGCGCGCCTGTAACCGCTCCCTGGGGTCCACAGCCCCCGCGCCCGCGGCGGCCGCGGTTTCGCCGGTGCGGAGGGCGCAAGCGCTCGCGCCGGCAGGCCCCGCCAGTTGCATGGCCGTCGGTGCATGTGGAGCGCCACTTCTCTGTTCAGCTCACAAGCTCACAGGTCTTGTGCCTTGGGGAGACTGCGGACACTGCAGCAAAGCCGGAGCGATCGGTAAGACCATCGCTGAGGCACCCCCCAAAAACTACTTGGGAAGGCGATAGAGTTGACAGAGAAGGAGACGGACAGGTACATGCTGTACATGTGGCCTTCGGAAGATAAACCATGCAAGATTCTGCATGTCTATCTGGCTCATGGCTTAGTGCAGCATGTCCAAATGGCAAACGGCTGCATTCAAGCACTGCCCGGAATGAGTGCTAAAAACTGATGACTAGACACCGCAGGCCCAGCAAACGCTTCCGAAGCTTCGACCCGTCTTTGCACTTTGACATCGACTTCATCGCCTCTGCCCTCATAAAAAAACTCTCCTACTCCAAGTCCCTGTGACACGTTCCGGTCAGCCGCTTCTCTGCACCTCCTCGCAGCAGTCGCGGAGCCAGTGTGGCGGCCGCTGACAGCGCCCCACGGCCACGGAGTTCCGCGGTGCGGAGCCGAAGCTCCTCTGACTCTGCGAGGTCACACACACCCGCAGGCATGCGTCTACCCTTCCAAGAAACACGACGACGAAGATGCTTTTTGGCCAACGCACTGCCAGCTAAACACCGAAAATCTCAGTCTTGAGGTCACCGGCACGTGGCTCAGTAGTAGGTCTTGCCGCCTCCCCACTTCTCTGGGATGGTCTGGTTCCTTGGATGGCACGGCACGGAGGGTCTGAAGGCAGAGGGGGGTCTACGAAGGATGCAAAGTCGGATCGCTGAAGTAGTAGCCGTCTGGAGCGTCTGTCGCCCTTTTCTGGCTGAGCCATGTCGAGATTTCAGCAGAGCTGAAGGAGTTGAAACACAGTGTACGGCCCTGTTGCAGTCCCGAAGCTGCAAGTAATGCAATCCAAGCGCTGGTAGAGGATGTAGGCAGACATGTCATACAGGTCCTCCGGAATGCGGGATACGGGGTTGGTGGACTCGAAAACGCGCAGACAGCGCAAGCAAGCTTGGGACTTAGTCTCACAAGTTGCTGTCCAAGGTGAAAGATTCCGAGACACTTGCACGCGATGTGACAATCCCTTCGTCATCCTGCTGCTTCATGGACCGCATCTTGGGCCAGATGTCACCGCCCTTGATGGACGGATGAACTTCTGAGATGTCTTTCAGTCCATCGTAAGTCGTAGGGTTGTTCAGGTAATCCACAAGCCCCTCGACGCTGGCACGATTGGGCTGTGCACCGGACAACTCCTCAATGGCCAAGCCCACATTTTGGTTTGTGCGGGTGCCGCCACCAACGTGACAGGAGGCGCAGGCGGCGTTGAAAAGACGCTTGCCGCGCACCAGCTGCTCCTTGGTCAGGGTAGTGGTCTTGCCCTTGTCATCCACAGGGATCACCACGTCCTCCACATCCGCCTTAGCCGGTGCGCCGGAGATGCCCACCATTGCCAAGCCGAGCAGGGCACCGGCAGCGAAGCGAAGCAGGCCGTCCAAAGAGCTGGAGGCAGAAGGGGCCGGGGACTCAAATGTGGAGGCCTCCAGCGCGAACTCCGGGCGGCGGGTTGACTCCTCACGCTCCCAGGCACTTTCCTGGGCGCTGCGCGGCGCGACGAAAGCGCCGCAGAGGCCCAGAAGGCCCAGCACCGAGCAAAGCAGCACTGCTCGAACGGCCATGGCAGGAGCGCGGCGACCTCTTCTGAGGCGTCTCAAAAACTCACAAGCGACGCTTGAACCTTTCGGCATCGAAGCGCTCGCGTGTGCTGTCGTCTGCACTGTCGCAAGCCCAGCGTACAGACGTGCATTGGTGCTTATCTTTTCGACGACGGCTCCGCACTGGAGAATGCACTGCAGCCTCCATTTGAAGTTGCACAAAAGTCCGTACTGTACTGCACACGGCACAGCTGCGCAAACTTGGGCACTTAAAGATAGCAAGTCTCGACGCATGTCTGCAGCAGTGACTGCTGCGTCAAGTGCAAAAGGATGAATACCCATAAATTGTCACCAGTCACCGCTTTTCAAAGGCAACGACAAGCCTCAGTACTTGTTGCACGAGGTCCAAGCACTGTCGCAGCCCCAGGTCTCTCCCTGCCAGGTGCAGATATAGAACCTCGGATGCCGCTGAAGAGCCAGTTGAAGTCTCAAATTGACCTAAATCTGTTGCCTCTTACTTCGCAACACGAGCCCGGATGACAAGGTGTTCCCGTCCGGATTGTGAAGACCGATATACAGAGGAAGAAGCCAATAGTTGCTCTCGTACTTGCGCTTGCAGTTCTGGTCTCCCAAGGCGATTCCCCACGTGCTCTGCAGCTCCTGGTGGCGACTCATGGTCTTGAAAAATATGGAGTCCAGGCATGTGACAGATAGAGAGAATCGCATGCCGCTGCCGCTACTGCTTGCTGCTAATGCGGTTGGCTTATGTGCTGCTCGCACTTGCTGATGCTTCGAGGTTCGCCAGCTGGACCGCGCAGTCACTGCATCTACAACGACTTCTGATCGGGAGGACCTGCGGAAAGAAGGCTGAACGATGCAGCTGATGTGCCACTTGCTCCAGGACCGTCTGGCTGCTCACGATCGCAAAACACTGGTGGATGTGACGCACCAGACATTTATGAGAACTGCGCTACGATCCTGCATTACTCTCGTCAGTAAGTAGAAATCGGATGGTTTTCAAAGCCAAAATCTCCTTGGGGCTGACCAGGCACCCGACGATGGAGGGGTCCTGGCCTTTTGCACAGGGGCCGATGACCGACGCTTCCTTGTCGACTTTGGCCTCAAAAATGCATGGGAATCGACCGCGTGCCACACGAGGCGTTGTGTAGTGTCAGCGCGGCTGCATCGGATGCGGTTCTTGAAAGCTCAGGCGAAGTGTGTTGTACAGTAAGGGGCAGGACTCCTAAGACCCGCACAGCCCGGGTCTGCAAGAGCTGCGCAGAGCATCCAGATCCCGGAGTCTCGCACTCGTCGTCAGAAATCAATGCCGCATGCTCTGCCATGGCGAAGAAGGCGAAAAAAGAGGCCACTGCGAACTTGTGCGCAGTCATAGCGGGGCAAGGGCCCGGCACTGCCAGCACTAAGAACCCTTATCCTCCTGGGCCCATCAGGCGATATGAATCAGAACTGAAGCGCTTTTGAAGGAGACCCTTCACTCCTCTGATGCAGGCGCTAGCTCGCTGGCCGGCAGCACTGCCCGGAGTCCGGAGAGAAACTGGACCAAGCGATCTGCCTTTGCTGAAAGTTGAGACTTGAAAGGCAACAGCTCCGGACCCGACCAGCAAAGAGCATCAAAGACCCCGAGCCAGAGCCAAAGCTTTGAGACCTTGAGACTTTGCCGCCAGAGCTCGTCGAAGTAGGCCAATCGGCTGACTCCCTGCCTCTGCTCACACGGTTTCAGAATGCAAGGCACAACTCACCAGGTGCACGCCTGCATGTGCGAAGTGCCCCTCTGTCGAGCAGCACGCCAACTCCGCGAAAGTGAACTGCCAAGCTGCTTAGCAGCGCCTTTTAAAGCAGAAAGCAGTGTGCTTATTCCAAGGCCAAAGAGCTTGAGCAGGAGCGAAGAAAGCTCCGAGTCCTCATGTCTCCTGAGTGAAGTAGGAAGTTTGTCTTCAACAAGGCGGGAAAGGATCTGATCAGATGTTGACAGTGTGTAAATTCAAAAAATTAACGCTGGCGGTGCTGGTGCTCGCGGAACCTCGACACATCAAGTCGCTGTCGGTCTACCCTTCCAGGCTGAGGAGCAGCACACCATATGACATCACAACACGTGAAAGGCTGCTTTGTCGGGAATGGATGTGCGCGTCCGTGTGCTTTGCAGAGATCAGTGGCAAAAACGCCATCTCCAAAAGCTGTGCTGAACAAAAACCACACCAAAAAAAATGCCTCCCCTCAGCAAGTTGCATCCGTTGCTTCGTCCAGCTAGAGCCTACCTAGAGCTGCTGCTCCTCGCTGCCTCACCGAGAACAGTACTCCACAAACTCCCCAAAACGCCAGGAACTCACCAAACCCAAAAACATCCAAAAACATCCAAACACATCCAGAAACATCCAAAAACATCCAGGAACATCAGACAACATCCGAGAACATCCAGAAGCATCCAAAAGAACATCCAAAAAAAACATCCTCTCGGCTTCTCGCTGCCTGGCGTCGCCCTTGCCATGGCCTTCGCCAAGCGAGCCAAGTCCGGCGGATCAAAGCTCGCCAGGATCTCGCGGGGCCATGCCGCAGCAGATTTATCCCTAAAGGGTTTCGACTTCAGACTCTCGCAACTCCGGAAATGCAGGTCCATGGTTCGCAGGGCAGGCACGTGTGGCCACGAGTCAGCATTCCGAAGGCTACATCCCAATTCCCGAAGTAACAGCGATGCCACATAGAGTCATAGCCAAGTCAGGAGCGGGGATCTGAGGCTCATCTCGAGCCCTGTGCTAGGTCACTTCACTCTGAAAACAATCTACAAGGCAGCAACAACTTACAAACGCCAAGGTACACAACAAATGGCGACGGGTCCGGGTGAAACTCACGGCTTTCGTTCCCACTCGAATAGGCAGGCATCCCTGCAATTCTATTGTAGCATGCGATAAACCTCAGAACGAGTGAAGTTACGGCTGAGCAAGGCACACGGCGCCCACCTCACGCGCACGGGTGCAGAGGCTCGGGAACAGCGCCAAGCCTGTCGGCTGCACGGCACAAACTTCAACGCATGACACTGGCATCTCTGTGTGTGTGTGCGCAGCCTCCGGGGTGTCCTACCCGAAGCGTCGACTCTGAAAATACATGATACTGTTGAAAAATGTTAGCCGTGCGCGTTCCGACGTTGTCCGGAACAGGGCTTTCTGCTTCTTCGAAAAATCCTTTGAGACGCAGGCGTGTGCCATTTAGACCGTGTCCTGCGTCTGCTTGGGTTCTGCGGGTTATACTGGCCGGCACGCCCAGGCAAACGATCCAAGAGATTTAAGTTTTGTGGCCTTCTCCGCTCTGCGAAGCAGTGGCTGCTGCACGGCTCAGCGCTGCGCCGTCAGCACCCGGCGGTGGCAGCAGTGGGGGCACCGGGAGCTGGGAATCCTTGCAAGCAGAGTGGAAGTTGTCTTCCACACGGCCACTAAAAGAGCCCCTGCCCTGGAATGCAGCGTAGTCTCCAGTAAAGCCACATCGGGTGGATGGGGCAGCCTGGGCTTCGGCAGTGCCCTGGGTGGCAGCACCACCTCGGCTGTCAGCTATGGAACCGACGGAGCTGTGACGATGCTCTGCAAAGGAAGATGCAGGCTCGTGTCATTCTGGCTTAATCAGACACTCTCATCGAGGAACTGCGAAAGGTACTCGAGCTTGACGGCTACGCCGCCACGCACGAACAAGAGATGCGCGAAAACCAGCACATCTAGAGCGGGGTCTCGGTCCCGGCTTAAGGTCTGTCGGACTCGCAACCCCAAACAAGCACGCCACCGGCATCGCCCAGAGAAATCGGGAACCAACACCTGAACCACCAGGAAGATGAGGCAAGCTCGGACGAAGCCAGTGCGGATGTTCAGATTCTCAGCCTGGAGGCCCCCTGTACGACTCTCATTGACTGTACATATTACCTTGACGTCTACACCTCGCCCCCCTTGCCCAACTTGCAGTCAAAGGCACGAGGTCGGGATTGCGACCCGCCTTCCTGGCCTGCACAAGCTTGCAGCCAGAGGGTCTTCGGGCTGGACGATCGTAACAGGGCACCATCAGATGCAAACAGACACCCACCACCCTCACTCCTTTAAGGAACACCAGGACACAACATCCGAGACGTGTTCAAAACCACACATCTGGTGCCAAGAATGCTTCTGGCATTTCTGCGCCTTTGATCTCAGCTCTCTGAGTTTTTTCGACTCGTTTGTGGTGAGGACCTGCCGTGCACCAGCTCCAGTAGTCGTTCTGATCATCTTCGGTCGCGCATGGCGTAACCTGCCTCGCCACCAGGTGGCGCCCCACGCCGCCAGCCGCCCTGTCATTTCATCACAGGCTCACCTACTCCGATCCTAAGCAGGTAAAAACCGTGAAATCGGCATCCTCGGTGCACCTGGACTTCTGTCTTCTCCGATATCCCGCTGATGACCCACCTTATCGGGAGACACACCTACAAAGCTTCACCTCTCGGATGAATGCTGGGGCAAAACCCCGTGCGAAGCGCTTGCCATGGCACTGCTGGACTCTTCGCCGCGGGCGAAGCACACGGGCCATGGCTTCTTGTCGGGACGCTGGAACTCATAACATGGCTAGTCGAAATTACTCCAGACTGGACTTTCAACAGAGCATTCTCGAGCAGGGCACGTCTCGTCGAAACTGTGGCCTGTCTACGGGTCTTCCCATATTCTCTCCGGAGAGCATGTCGCTGAAAGTCGTACACAGGGGGTGCGTTGCCGGCAGTAGGCATGATGTAAAAGCTCGGGGGTTCTCTGTGCATCCTCTGGCAGCCTGGCAGAGTTGCAAATCAACAACCTCTTGGTCTCGGCGCAAGCCACTTCTGAGGCTGCGAATCATGCAGACATCAAGGGCTAAGTCAAAGCAAAGCATGGGAAAAATAACACTCGCTCGCACGCAGAGAAGCAGGTGCAAAGGAAGGCCCTGCCAGAGGGAGGTGTATGCTTAAGAGGTCCGCTGTTCTGTTAAGGTTGGGGATCCTCCCAATCATTTATTTGCAAAAGAAGCGCAAATAGAATGCAAATAAAGTGCAAATACAGTGTATGCCTGCAGGGAGCCTCGGCTAGGAAGTGTGATTAAAGTGCAAATAAAGTGCAAATAAAGTGTAAATGGAAGGGATTGAGAGGAGGCAAGAGTGCAAATAATGTGTAAAAAAAGTGTGAATAAAGTGCGAATAAAGTGTACATAAAGTGCACACTAGTCAGTGGTCATATTACACCCTGCTGCTTGGTCTTTCATTGCGGAGCCTCCACCACCCTAGGACGAAGATCTTCTGGGATGCTGGCCTATCGCGGTAAGTAGAAGATTTTGGGATTTGGCTCAACCAACATGTACGCTGTATAAGGCTACTGATTACTTAGTATGACGAAGAGCCTGCACCTACCGGCCCTACCGGACATGTTTAGGCCCTATGTCTTCAGCGGCAAGTCGCCGACGAAGTTAGCTCCTTTCCGGGAAACGGGTAAAGAGGCACTTCATCATGAGATCGCTTCACTACTGAACCGGAGTCTGTTTTGCGACCCTTATTTCGCAAATGGAGCCAAGGCCATTTGCATCATTTTCGCAACCTTTTCACATTTTTTCACACTTTTTCCGCATTTTTCCTGGGAACAACTGGATTTTCGGAAAATACTGCTCTCCCTAGGGAAAATGCTGAAAAAAGTGCAAACATAGTGCAAAACCTAGGTTTCCAGTGCACATGATGCCATTTCCACTTTTTTCACACTTTTTTCGCACTTTTTTGCATTTTTCCTAGGGAGAGCATTATTTTCCTAGAATCCAGCCGTCCCTAGGAAAAGTGCAAAAAAAGTGTGAAAACAGTGTGAGCATGGTGGATTTCCAATAGAGATGGGACCGCGAACACTTCCAGCGAGGCCATTTGCACTTTTTTCACACTTTTTTCACACTTTTTTCGCACTTCTTTCGCACTGTTTTTGCATTTTTCCTAGGGAGAGCAGTATTTTCCGAGAATCCAGCGTCCCTAGGAAAAGTGCAAAAAAAGTGCAAAAAAAGTGCGAAAAAAATGCAAAAAAAGTGCGAAAAAAGTGCAAAAAAAGTGCGAAAAAAGTGTGAAAAAAGTGTGAAAAAAATGGAAATGGCATCATGTGCACTGGAAACCTAGGTTTTTGCACTATTTTTGCAATTTTTTCACACCTTTTTTGCATTTTC